ACTAGTGTAACTAGCAGACAAACTAGTGTAACTAGCAGACAAACTAGTGTAACTAGCAGAAACTAGTGTAACTAGCAGACAAACTAGTGTAACCTAGCAGACAAACTATGTAACTAAGACAAACTATGTAACTAGCAGACAAACTAGTGTAACTAGCAGACAAACTAGTGTAGCAGACAAACTAGTGTGACTAGCAGACAAACTAGTGTAACTAGCAGACAAACTAGTGCAACTAGCAGACAAATTAGTGTAACTAGCAGAGAAACTAGTGTAACTAGCAGACTAGTGTAACTAGCAAACTAGTGTGACTAGCAGACAAACTATGTGAACTAGCAGACAAATTAGTGTAACTAGCAGACAAACTAGTGTAAGCAGCAAACTAGTGTGACTAGCAACAAACTATGTGACTAGCAGACAAACTAGTGTAACAGCAGACAAACTAGTTTTAACTAGCAGACAAACTAGTGTAACTAGCAGACAAACTAGTGTAACTAGCAGACAAACTAGTGTGACTAGCAGACAAACTAGTGTGACTAGCAGACAAACTAGTGTAACCAGCAGACAAACTAGTGTAACTAGCAGACAAACTAGTGTAACTAGCAGACAAACTAGTGTAACCAGCAGACAAACTAGTGTAACTAGCAGACAAACTAGTGTAACTAGCAGACAAACTAGTGTAACTAGCAGACAAACTAGTGTAACTAGGAGACAAACTAGTGTAGCAGACAAACTAGTGTGACTAGCAGACAAACTAGTGTAACTAGCAGACAAACAAGTGTGAACTAGCAACAAACTAGTGTAACTAGCAGACAAACTAGTGTGACTAGCAGACAAACTAGTGTAACTAGCAGACAAACTAGTGTAACTAGCAGACAAACTAGTGCAAGTAGCAGATAAACTAGTGTAACTAGCAGACAAACTAGTGTAACTAACAAACTAGTGTAACTAGCAGACAAACTAGTGTAACTAGCAGACAAACTAGTGTGACTAGCAGACAAACTAGTTGAACTAGCAGACAAATTAGTGTGAAACTAGCAGACAAACTAGTGTAACTAGCAGACAAACTAGTGTAACTAGCAGACAAACTAGTGTAACTAACAGACAAACTAGTGTAACTAGCAAACTAGTGTGACTAGCAGACAAACTAGTGTGACTAGCAGACAAACTAGTGTAACCAGCAGACAAACTAGTGTAACTAGCAGATAAACTAGTGTAACTAGCAGACAAACTAGTGTAACTAGCAGACAAACTAGTGTAACTAGCAGACAAACTAGTGTAGCAGACAAACTAGTGTAGCAGACAAACTAGTGTAACTAGCAGACAAACTAGTGTAACTAGCAGACAAACTAGTGTGACTAGCAGACAAACTAGTGTAACTAACAGACAACTAGTCAACCTAGCAGACAAACTAGTGTGACTAGCAGACAAACTAGTGTAACTAGCAGACAAACTAGTGTAACTAGCAGACAAACTAGTGTAACTAGCAGACAAACTAGTGTGACTAGCAGACAAACTAGTGTGACTAGCAGACAAACTAGTGTAACCAGCAGACAAACTAGTGTAACTAGCAGATAAACTAGTGTAACTAGCAGACAAACTAGTGTAACCAGCAGACAAACTAGTGTAACTAGCAGACAAACTAGTGTAACTAGCAGACAAACTAGTGTAACTAGCAGACAAACTAGTGTAGCAGACAAACTAGTGTAACTAGCAGAGAAACTAGTGTAACTAGCAGACAAACTAGTGTGACTAGCAGACAAACTAGTGTAACTAACAAACTAGTGTAACTAGCAGACAAACTAGTGTAACTAGCAGACAAACTAGTGTGACTAGCAGACAAACTAGTGTAACTAACAGACGAACTAGTGCAACTAGGAGACAAACTAGTGTGACTAGCAGACAAACTAGTGTGACTAACAAACTAGTGCTAACAAACTAGTGCAACTAGCAGACAAACTAGTGTGACTAGCAAACTAGTGTGACTAGCAAACTAGTGTAACTAACAAACTAGTGTGACTAGCAGACAAACTAGTGTAACTAGCAGATGAACTTTAGTCTAAAATGTTGAATAAAAGCAAAACAAACTTGTTAATAGCAGACTTAATTAACTAAACTGTCCAAGTAATCTAGCAGCAATCCACGTAGATGTATGCACGTCAAACTCACGAAGAACTACGTTCACGTGCATGCCCAAACTTAGATCTACGTCATTGCGTACACTGACGTAGACTACGACTCACGTGGTAAGTGTAAACGTAAGTAGACGAAAATTCAATCTAGATTCGAACGTAGATCTAGTTCACGCATAGCACTCCAAAGTAGATTACTTTTTTTTACATAAGAAAGCATGTGGAAAATGTAGACTAACGTGTAACAGCACGCACTGAACTAGATCTACGTTTGGACTTTAAATATGGCTTGTGGATTAAAATGATGAGAAGAGAGTGGAGGCAGCCCAAGAGTCAGAATTATGCTACAAATTTTAGAGCCAAACTTAAACTAGTAATAATAACTCAAATTCAAATCTCAAAATCAAATTTATTTCTTTGCAAGTAGTACATTGAGGTTATGTATTTACAATAATGGGTTGCAGTGCAAAGAGAGCCTCTGTTATGCCTAGGCATTATGGGCTGACTTAATTTAATGGCTTACTGACTACTTAACACTAAAGAAATTTATCATAGTTGTACAGTATATTAGTTATGAATGATTCTAATTTATTTTAGCGTAATAAATGTTTGTACAAAGGAACATAACAATTAGGTGTACATGTCGAAAGCCCCTTTATATGCAGAATATTTCTGGCAAACTTAAGATTAAATTAGATTAATAAGGCAATAACAGTGCAAAATTGTACATATGGTCATTAGGTGAGTTACAATGAATACAGCCTCTCCTTACTTAGCGACGTACTCGTTTACCGACGCCTCGGACTTATGACTGGCTTTCTGGCCAGTATTCATACCTAAATAATGTATAACAGAGCTGATTTCCTCTATTCTGTTTATTACAATATACAGTACACCACTGTAAAAACATTAAAAATATACTAAAAATGGTACAAAGGTGACATTAAAACAATATCAAAGATAGTTGACATAAACCCACTACCATTACAGTATGCTCCTCACTTAGTGACGAATTCGTTTACCGACTTGTTGTTAGGAACGGAACTCCGTTGTTAAGTGAGGAGAGGCTGTACAAGAAAATTGAATATTCTATTAGTTCATCCTATATGGCTTTAACCCTTTCAGGGTTGGTGCCGTACTAGTACGGCTTGCACGCCAGGGTTGGTGCTGTACTTGTACGCATAAATTCTAGCGCCTTCAAATCTAGTGAGAGAAAGCTGGTAGGCCTACATATGAAAGAATGGGTCTATGTGGTCTGTGTGCACAGGATAAAAAAAATCCTACAGCACACAGTGCATAATGAGAAAAAAGAAGCTCCGACCGTGTTTTTGGTTTAAAACAGCGACTTTGCACTGTATTTTCGTATGCTATTTATGGTTGTATTCTAGTTTTCCTGGTCTCATTTTATAGAATGGAAGACATATTACAGAAATTGAGAGGATTTTGATTGGTTTCACAATGAAAAGTACCTTGAAATTGAGCTCAAAGTAGCAGAAATGTTCGATTTTTGCCAAAGTTCAAAAGTCAAAAAATCATGTCACACATCCAATATACATAACTGGCGAGTCTAATGTTCTTTCACGTCCACGTGTGGCCTGAGCGTGCCTCACTTGTCCCGTGAGTGCCATTGTTTACAAGCCAGCTACTGCGGTCGCATCTAAACATACAATCGGAACATTTCATATTATCACAGCGTTTTTAGTGATTGCACCTGCAAAATAAGTCACCATGGGCCCCAAGAAAGATTCTAGTGCCAACCCTGTGATAAAAAGGGTGAGAATTAGTATGGAAATTAAGAAAGATTTTGAAGGGTTTGGGGCTAACCCTGAGTGCCTATGCCAGTTGTGGAGTCCATTGTGCCTACTTCAAAGATTAAGGAAATGTGTGCAAAGTGGGTTGAACTGCAAACCTTTGTGGATGAAAATCACCCTAACACAGCTATTGCAAGCCATGCTGGTGACTATTACAATGACAATGTTATGGCCCATTTTAGACAAATCTTGAAGGAACGGGAGGTACAGAGCTCTATGGACAGATAAGTTGTGCGACAGAGGTCCAGTGACTCTCAAGCTGGTCCTACTGGCATTAAAAGAAGAAGGGAAGTAACCCCAGAAAAGGACTTGACACCTCAAGTCCTAATGGAAGGGGATTCCCCTTCTAAACACTAACACCATCCACACTCCCCTCCTCCCGTCCCATCAATCATCACCAGATCTTCAATAAAGGTAAGTGTCATGTAATTGTACATGTCTTCTTCAGTTTGTGTGTATTAAAATTAATATTTCATGAGGTAAAATTTTTTTTTTCAATACATGTACTTTGGGGTGTCAGGAACGGATTAATTTGATTTCCATCATTTCTTATGGGGAAAATTAACTCGACTAACGATAATTTCGACTAACGATGAGCTCTCAGGAACGGATTAATATTGTTGGTCGAGGGTCCACTGTAGTTATGATTTTTGTCGACTGTTACATTGGAATTGGACTCAAAATAGGGCTCAAAGTGGGTGAAATCGCTGTTGCATAAACATCGTCGACACCGCTAACTTCGCAAGAGCATAATTCCATAAGTTTTCCCTCAAATTTCATACTTTTGGTGCCATTATGATTGGGAAAAGATTCTCTTATCATTTCACAAGAAAAAATATTTTTTTTTCAAAAAATTTCCGACCCTGAGAACAAGTTTAGGAGAGGGCCTGTCGACCCTGAAAGGGTTAATAATTTTGGTATAGAAGAATTACAGTGAGACTAGTTAATGATACTAGTTGAACTAAAACATGACCACTAGCAATAGTGTAGTGTGTGTAGGTCGTCCGTATGTTGTTCCAGGTTCTAACACGGGCATCTGAACCCTGATTTTTTGTTGCAGATTGTGTTCGTGCCAGCGTGGATCCTGATGTGTGTGTCGGTGGTGGCGGTGCTGTACTCCATCGTGTTTGCCGGGTTACTGCTGCGTATGCCAGACGTGAATCCGGACCGACGGCGGACATCCATGAACTCTGCTGTCGGATATACCTGTCTGGTGGCTCCTCTGCTCATCTTTCTTGTGAGTTGTTGAACCTTCTATCTTGTGAGTTGTTGAACCTTCTTTCTTGTGAGTTGTTGAACCTTCTATCTTGTGAGTTGTTGAACCTTCTATCTTGTGAGTTGTTGAACCATCTATCTTGTGAGTTGTTGAACCTTCTTTCTTGTGAGTTGTTGAACCTTCTTTCTTGTGAGTTGTTGAACCTTCTTTCTTGTGAGTTGTTGAACCTTCTATCTTGTGAGTTGTTGAACCTTCTTTCTTGTGAGTTGTTGAACCTTCTATCTTGTGAGTTGTGAACCTTCTATCTTGTGAGTTGTTGAACCTTCTATCTTGTGAGTTGTTGAACCATCTTTCTTGTGAGTTGTTGAACCTTCTATCTTGTGAGTTGTGAACCTTCTATCTTGTGAGTTGTGAACCTTCTATCTTGTGAGTTGTGAACCTTCTATCTGGTGAGTTGTTGAACCTTCTATCTGGTGAGTTGTGAACCTTCTATCTTGTGAGTTGTGAACCTTCTATCTTGTGAGTTGTTGAACCTTCTATCTTGTGAGTTGTTGAACCTTCTATCTTGTGAGTTGTGAACCTTCTATCTGGTGAGTTGTTGAACCTTCTTTCTTGTGAGTTGTTGAACCTTCTATCTTGTGAGTTGTTGAACCTTCTATCTTGTGAGTTGTTGAACCTTCTATCTTGTGAGTTGTGAACCTTCTATCTTGTGAGTTGTGAACCTTCTATCTTGTGAGTTGTTGAACCTTCTTTCTTGTGAGTTGTTGAACCTTCTATCTTGTGAGTTGTTGAACCTTCTATCTTGTGAGTTGTGAACCTTCTATCTTGTGAGTTGTGAACCTTCTATCTTGTGAGTTGTGAACCTTCTATCTTGTGAGTTGTTGAACCATCTTTCTTGTGAGTTGTTGAACCTTCTATCTTGTGAGTTGTGAACCTTCTATCTTGTGAGTTGTTGAACCTTCTATCTGGTGAGTTGTTGAACCTTCTATCTTGTGAGTTGTGAACCTTCTATCTTGTGAGTTGTTGAACCATCTTTCTTGTGAGTTGTTGAACCTTCTATCTGGTGAGTTGTTGAACCTTCTATCTTGTGAGTTGTGAACCTTCTATCTTGTGAGTTGTTGAACCATCTTTCTTGTGAGTTGTTGAACCTTCTATCTGGTGAGTTGTTGAACCTTCTATCTTGTGAGTTGTGAACCTTCTATCTTGTGAGTTGTTGAACCATCTTTCTTGTGAGTTGTGAACCTTCTATCTTGTGAGTTGTGAACCTTCTATCTTGTGAGTTGTTGAACCATCTTTCTTGTGAGTTGTTGAACCTTCTATCTGGTGAGTTGTTGAACCTTCTATCTGGTGAGTTGTTGAACCTTCTATCTTGTGAGTTGTGAACCTTCTATCTTGTGAGTTGTGAACCTTCTATCTTGTGAGTTGTGAACCTTCTATCTTGTGAGTTGTTGAACCATCTTTCTTGTGAGTTGTTGAACCTTCTATCTGGTGAGTTGTTGAACCTTCTATCTTGTGAGTTGTGAACCTTCTATCTTGTGAGTTGTTGAACCTTCTATCTTGTGAGTTGTTGAACCTTCTTTCTTGTGAGTTGTTGAACCTTCTATCTGGTGAGTTGTTGAACCTTCTATCTTGTGAGTTGTTGAACCTTCTTTCTTGTGAGTTGTTGAACCTTCTTTCTTGTGAGTTGTTGAACCTTCTATCTTGTGAGTTGTTGAACCTTCTATCTTGTAAGATGTTGAACCATCTTTCTTGTAAGATGTTGAACCATCTTTCTTGTGAGATGTTGAACCATCTTTCTTGTGAGATGTTGAACCATCTTTCTTGTAAGATGTTGAACCATCTTTCTTGTGAGATGTTGAACCATCTTTCTTGTGAGATGTTGAACCATCTTTCTTGTGAGATGTTGAACCATCTTTCTTGTGAGATGTTGAACCATCTTTCTTGTAAGATGTTGAACCATCTTTCTTGTGAGATGTTGAACCATCTTTCTTGTGAGATGTTGAACCATCTTTCTTGTGAGATGTTGAACCATCTTTCTTGTGAGATGTTGAACCATCTTTCTTGTAAGATGTTGAACCATCTTTCTTGTGAGATGTTGAACCATCTTTCTTGTAAGATGTTGATCCATCTTGTGAAATGTTGAACCTTCTTATGAGACCTTGAACCATCTTTCTTGTGAGACCTCGAACCCTCTTTTTTGTGAGACCTTGAAGCATCTTTCTTGTGAGACATTGAACCATCTGTCTTGTGAGACCTTAAACCATCTTGTGAGACCTTGAACCATCTTGTGAGATGAACCATCTTTCTTGTGAGTTGAACCTCCTTTCAAAAGATAGTCACGCACCAGCAGTTTCCCACCTGTGTATTGTGACACGTATATGAGTAAATGTACTCACCTGTACTCACACAATTAGTTAATGAATGGTTCCAGGACACCAATTTGATGGACTTGACTCCTGGAGGTGGGAAGAACAGAGCCTCTCCGTTCCTTAAACATTAAACTTACCAGGACCGGTGGCCTGGTGGCTAAAGCTCCCGCTTCACACACGGAGGGCCCGGGTTCGATTCCTGGCGGGTGGAAACATTTCGACACGTTTCCTTACACCTGTTGTCCTGTTCACCTAGCAGCAAATAGGTACCTGGGTGTTAGTCGACTGGTGTGGGTCGCATCCTGGGGGACAAGATTAAGGACCCCAATGGAAATAAGTTAGACAGTCCTCGATGACGCACTGACTTTCTTGGGTTATCCTGGGTGGCTAACCCTCCGGGGTTAAAAATCCGAACGAAATCTTATCTTATCTTATCTCATATTTTGCGGCTTATAAGACATGGCTTATAAGACTTGTTTCAGTTTCAGTGGCTCGGCATCGGATGTAACTGGAGAGCTACAGCCCACCCCACACCGCAAACTTATAGCTCCCGTCACTGATCTTCAGTTTATAGGACGCTGGCTGGTTTTTGGAGACATTTTATGGAAAAAATGCATTTAATAAGCTGTGAAACATCCATGTTCAACTTAGAATATTTCAGCTTTACAATGGTGCTAAAGCAATTACAATGGAACCTCGGTATATAACCTTAATTCATTCCAGAAGGCTGTTCGAGTGTCGCTCTGTTTAAGGAGTGAACAAGTTCTTCCCAACCAATTTTCTTTTTGATTGGCTGTTATCACTAATCATCGTAGGCCCCATGGTGACTTATTTATACAAATAATACAAAAAAAAAAAATGCGAAGAAACACGAAATACAGTGGACCCCCGGTTAACGATATTTTTTCACTTCAGAAGTATGTTCAGGTGCCAGTACTGACCGAATTTGTTCCCATAAGAAATATTGTGAAGTAGATTAGTCCATTTCAGACCCCCAAACATACACGTACAAACGCACTTACATAAATACACTTACATAATTGGTCGCATTCGGAGGTAATCGTTATGCGGGGGTCCACTGTAGTTTACTGTAAAGTTCTGGCAGGTGGTATTTGTTTGGTTGAGCGCTGAGCTTTGTTCGAGTAGGGAGCTGATCGTATACCGAGGTACTGCTGTACTTTGGAGGTGAAACTTAAGATAATTACCCAACATGAAGGTGGCAAGTTCATAACTTGTATTCATTTATTTATTTTTTAATACTGATGTTAAGTGAATGTATAGGAGCCTTTGAGCCAAGTGAGAGAGTAATTGTGGTAGGGGATCTGAATGCTAAAGTAGGAGAAACTTTTAGAGAGGGTGTGGTAGGTAAGTTTGGGGTGCCAGGTGTAAATGATAATGGGAGCCCTTTGACTGAACTTTGTATAGAAAGGGGTTTAGTTATAGGTAATACATATTTTAAGAAAAAGAGGATAAATAAGTATACAAGATATGATGTGGGGCGAAATGACAGTAGTTTGTTGGATTATGTATTGGTAGATAAAAGACTGTTGAGTAGACTTCAGGATGTACATGTTTATAGAGGGGCCACAGATATATCAGATCACTTTCTAGTTGTAGCTACACTGAGAGTAAAAGGTAGATGGGATACAAGGAGAATAGAAGCATCAGGGAAGAGAGAGGTGAAGGTTTATAAACTAAAAGAGGAGGCAGTTAGGGTAAGATATAAACAGCTATTGGAGGATAGATGGGCTAATGAGAGCATAGGCAATGGGGTCAAAGAGGTATGGGGTAGGTTTAAAAATGTAGTGTTAGAGTGTTCAGCAGAAGTTTGTGGTTACAGGAAAGTGGGTGCGGAGGGAAGAGGAGCGATTGGTGGAATGATGATGTGAAGAGAGTAGTAAGGGAGAAAAAGTTAGCATATGAGAAGTTTTTACAAAGTAGAAGTGATGCAAGGAGGGAAGAGTATATGGAGAAAAAGAGAGAGGTTAAGAGAGTGGTGAAGCAATGTAAAAAGAGAGCAAATGAGAGAGTGGGTGAGAAGTTATCAACAAATTTTGTTGAAAATAAGAAAAAGTTTTGGAGTGAGATTAACAAGTTAAGGAAGCCTAGAGAACAAATGGATTTGTCAGTTAAAAATAGGAGAGGAGAGTTATTAAATGGAGAGTTAGAGGTATTGGGAAGATGGAGGGAATATTTTGAGGAATTGTTAAATGTTGATGAAGATAGGGAAGCTGTGATTTCGTGTATAGGGCAAGGAGCAATAACATCTTGTAGGAGTGAGGAAGAGCCAGTTGTGAGTGTGGGGGAAGTTCATGAGGCAGTAGGTAGAATGAAAGGGGGTAAGGCAGCTGGGATTGATGGGATAAAGATAGAAATGTTAAAAGCAGGTGGGGATATAGTTTTGGAGTGGTTGGTGCAATTTTTTAATAAATGTATGGAAGAGGGTAAGGTACCTAGGGATTGGCAGAGAGCATGCATAGTTCCTTTGTATAAAGGCAAAGGGGACAAAAAGAGAGTGCAAAAAATTATAGGGGAATAAGTCTGTTGAGTATACCTGGTAAAGTGTATGGTAGAGTTATTATTGAAAGAATTAAGAGTAAGACGGAGAATAGGATAGCAGATGAACAAGGAGGCTTTAGGAAAGGTAGGGGG